TTCATTTGGGTTTTTCATATTCAATATAAGATATGAGAAAATAAAAAAATGGTTAAGGGGGTCCCGAGACTCCTCAATCGTGGGCCGAAAAAATACATTGTATGCGAGATCTATTCATATACCTCGTCTGTGGCATAACCATGTATTTTCGCAGCCATGGTAATAAGGCCAAGATAATCTTTTTTTTTTTTTTTACGAGGAGAAAATCTTCAAAAGACGCCTGATTCCCCTGAGGGAGAGAAGCCAGGTAGTGTCGGATTTTTACCGATTAAAACCTCCACGGTGGCCATCCACCTGCCTTATGGGAAGCTCCGTTAACTCTCAACGGTTCCCAGGCATTCGCCTTGTTGGTTTCTTCTCGGCGAGAGGGACTCGCGTATCCCCTATCCTTTTGACGTGCTCTTTCTTCTTATAACATCAAGTATCACTCCCAGTGCTGCTCCTGCCCGGGGCAATATCACTGGGATGGACGAGCCCTCATTTATCCTCCCGTCGATCCCTACTGTCTCCTCTTCTTTCTTCTTTCTTCTTTCCTTCTTTGGCCAGAGCGGAAGAGGGTGGGAGTCCCATCGAGGGGGATCTCCCCCTATCGATATCGTTTGGCCGCCGCAACGTACTCAGGAAGAGTTGGCTGCACCCCTGATACGGCGACCGGACCAAATCCTACGGCGCCGTCTTTCCGTGCGCGTAGGATTGCCGTTCCCACACCCTCTCGGTTTCTTCTTTCGCGGCCATCACCTCCTCGCAGTAGAGGGTGACCGCCGTCCGCTGGCTGTTGTCCTCCAGGAGGGCCTTGATTATGGCCGCCGGATCCGGACTGATGCTAGTTCCTTTGCGCCTCGAAGGCCGGACATGTGCTTCGAGTGTGTGTTGGGCGGAGTCCAGTTTCGCCCCGCAGTGATGATAGTTTCTTCCGCTGCAATCCTGTGCAGGTACTCACCGAAGCACCCGTGCCCAGTAAGCACCTGGGTGGTCCTGAAAGTGAGCCTCCTCGTTCCATCCGTCCAGTTGGACAGAACGGCTCCAGCGATTCTTCTGCCGCAGACTCCACTCTCTTCCAGCTCCGCGCTTCACTCTTGGAGGGCCTCGTCGTCGTGAGCATCCTCTTCTTCGTCCCAGCGTCGCACTCGCGTAGTTCCCGCGCACGTTGAAACGTCTGCGCCTCCACCTTCGCTTATAGGTCGAACGGGATCGACCCGACTAATATTAACGCCGTTTCCTCGGAGATCGTGCAATACCCTCGCACGATCCAGATCCCCATCCGCTGCTGTAGTCGCCGCAGCATCCTGGCGTTGGCATGCTTGGTGGTCAGACCCCGCGACCAAATAAGCGCACCGTACAGAGCCATAGACACCGAGGTGTGGAGCCTACGGACCCTGTCCTCTGATCCGCTTATGTTAGGGAGGATTCGACTCAACATAGTGGCCACCCCTTCCACCCTGGGTAGCAAGGTGGTGAAGTGCTCCCGAAGGCACGTCACTCCGAGGTACTTCAATCTGTGCCCAACCAAAATGCGGTCACCGTCTAAGCTGTCGCTACGTGGAGTCCGAGCCGTCGAATTCGGC